GGGAGTGGAAGGTTGCCGTGGTAACATAATAGTCTATCAAACCTCTCCCTGGGTTTGGAGGATGGCGTCCTCTGATATCATGGAAGGTCTGGATTCCCTGGGGTGGAAGAGGGATTCTGAAATCTCAGGGAAGTTTGTGACGACAGGGGTGATAGATGTCAAAACCCCTCTGTCACTTTTCTTGAGCCACCAGGTGTCAGAATTGACCAGAGAGAGTCAGTGACAGAAATGATCTCTTTTCTAGCTTGTCTTTTTCTGAATGCTTTGGCCCCTGTGACCTGAAGTGTCCAGAGCTGACTGCAGAAGCACTCCCTTCCTCACTCGAGCCTCAACACCCCCTTCTCAGTTGCTGAGGCAAGAATAGCAGAGTGGTACTGGTTTCTTATTGTCACTGTAACAAACCACCACCCACTCAGTGGCTTAAAGCCACACACACTCACTCTCTGACAGCTCTGAAGGGCAGAAGGGCAAAGTCAGTTTCACTGGGCTAATGTCAGGGTATCAGCAGGCCACACGCCCTCCAGAGTCCTTCCGTGGCTTGTGGTGTCTTCCACCTTCAAAGCCAGCAGTGCAGTGTTTTGTTTCAGTGTCCCATCCCCACTGTGTCTCCCTAGTCGGCTCTCCCCTGCCTCCTGGTGCTCCAGATACTCGTGGCCCCCCCTACATCCCACCCAGACAACCCAGGATGATCTCCCCATCTCAAGACCCCCCCCACTTAATCCCATCTGTAAAGTCCCTTTAGCCATGGACAGCCAGCCACATGCCCAGGTTCTAGGACATCGTTAGGGGTCATTCTTCAGCCTACCATACAGGCCTTCTCAGGGCCTTGGTTCCCGCTCCCCAGGGTCAGGTATGCCAGGGGCCAGGCCAACTCCCCAGCCCTTGAGACCCTTCCTCGATGGCTTCCCAGAGCTAGTCCCCCCAGGTTCCAAGGGTCCAGGCCATGGTTGCTGTCCCTCGAAGGCCAAGAAATAAATGTGGAGGGGCTCCTATGACTACCAAGTTGGAACGGCCATACCAGAGGGTGCGGTTCAAGGTGGTGTGCGGACAGAGGGGCTGCACAGGGCAGCTGCGTGGAGGCGAGGTGGGCAGTAGCAGCTCCGAGTCAAATATCTGTGAGGATCAGGCCCAAGGGGCTCCCCAAAGCTGAGCCCCAGGTCTCCTGGTCTGTGCTAAGGGGAGTGCAGGTGAGGTCAGGCTTCCTTGCTCCCTGATGTGTTTGTGCCCTGTTTGTGGGGACACTGGGTGGCGTGCTAAACAGGGCTGCTCTCCCCCAGCCTCCCCTCAGCTTGGGCCTGGACGTGGATATACAATGGCCATGCACACACACACACTGCCCCCAACCCCTGAGGTCCCAGGCAGTAGCACTGGGCTCAAAACTGTGCCTCTAATCTGGCACAGCCTGGACCTGGAGCTCCGGCGTTAATTGACTTTGGGGCCTCCTTCTCCGACTTCGGAGTCTGAACTGTTTCCGACATTTGCACTGGAGACGTCTGAGCCTGTGGCTCTTTGCATTTGGGTGTTTATTTGTTTGACAAGTGGCTTTTAGGGGAAGGTGGAGGAGGGGAGGCGCCTGCTGGAACTGTGTATCAATCTGGGTGTGTGTCTCAAAGGTCGCAAGTCACAGTAAAAATTCAGTTTCACTAAATGTAACCTGGATTGGATCCCAGAACAAAAAAAGGACATTGGTGGAAAAACTGATGAAATCCAAATAAAGTCTGGAGTTTAGTTAACAGTAACGCACCAGTGTTAACCTCTTAGTTTTGATCAATGCACCAGTTATGTAAGATGTTAACATCAGGGGAGACTGGGTGCTGGGTATACAGGAACTCTCTGTACTAGTTTTGCAACTTCTCTATAAATCTAGAATTATTACCCCCCCCAAGTTTATTAAAAAATATTCAGTTTCAAAGTTTTACAACACAATACAATATACTGACTTGGAGGTTTAACTAGCAAATCCACTATTTGGTTCAATGTTTATTACTTATTGAAGCATGAAGTACACGCACACACAGTGAGGACCACAGATCTTGTGTTCACAGCTCATTGGGTTTGTTTGCTTGCTTTTTTAATGGAGGCACTGGGGATTGAACCCAAGACCCCGTGCATGTTAAGCATGTGCTCTACCACTGAGCTGTACCCTCCTCACCCCACTGAGTTTTTAACATATGGAATCACCCACATAACCAGCACCAGATCAAACAAGAGAAAGCCCCCCAGCACCCAGAAGTCTCCTTCCGATCCCTTCTTAGTGAACGGCTCTCCCTGACCAGAGCTGGCCACTCCCCTGATACATACAGCATAGATTGGTTTTGCCTGGTTTTGAATTTCACATCAGTAATAAAGTATGTACTCTTCGGAGTCTGTTTTCTTTTTCTTTTTTAATTTGCTTATTTATCTTTTGCAGGGCAGCAGGTAATTAGGTTTACTTCTTTATTTTTTAAGTGGTGGCACTGGGGATTGAACTCAGGACCTCATGCATGCTAAGCATGCGCTCTACCACTGAGCTATACCCTCCCAAGTCTGTCTTCCTTCACTCAACATAATGTCTGAAAATCATCCATGCTATTGTGGGTAGCAGTTCATTCTTTTCTTGTTGTATAGTATCCCCCAGTTTGCTGTCCATTCTGTTTTTGATCTACCTTTGGACTGTTTTCAGTTTGGGATTCTCAGGAATGAAGATGCCACAAACGTTTGTATATGTGTCTTCAGCAGCTGTATATAGTCATTTCTCTTGGAAATACATTTCAGAATGGAATTGCTGGGTCATAGAGTATTTCCTGTTCAGCTTTAGCAGATATTACCAAACAGCTCTCCAAAGTGATTATACCAGTTATACTTCCTCCAGAAATGTATGCATGTCCTGGTTGCTTCACATCCTTGCCAATACTTGCTGTTGTCAATCCTTTTCATTTCAGTCCTTCTAGTGATATGTATCCTATGGTTTTTATTTGCATTTCCCTGAGGAACATGTTTGGCAGCCTTTGGGACATCCTCTTTTGTGAAGTGACAGTTCAAGCCTTTTGCTCTTTTTTTTTCTGGATTGTTCATCTTTTTCTTATTGATTTGTAGGAGCTCTTTATATATTCTAGATACAAGTCCTTTGTCAGATGTATTATAAATCTCCTCTCCCCATTTATGGCTTATCGCTCTTTCGATGGTGTCTTTTGGTGAGCAGATCAGCTCGGCTTTAACCAGATCAACTATTGCTTTGTTGTTGTTCAAATCAGAAGAACTAGAAGAAGCTTTAGAGATCATTGTGCCAGTGGTTCTTGATCTTTGTGTTCACTGGAATAACTGGAGGAGCTTTTGAAAAAATAACCGTGTCTGGGCATCAGCATGATTAAAAGCTCCCCAGGGAATTCTAACGAGCAGTTGGATTTGAGACCCACTGATCTCTGTGAATGGAGAGGGTTTAAGAGAGCAATATTTTGCTTGGCAGTGGCCAGATGCCCCACCTTTTTCCTGCCTCATCTCAAGGCCTTAACAGATGATTGACTCTTCCAGGATAGTAAATAGAGGTCAGCCCCTGGCATAATCTTTAGTGGGTCTTTCTCTCTCAAACCTCAGATATGGCTGGTATAGTCCTGGTTAATGCCCACTGTCTTGGTATAACTATTAAGAGCATCCTCCTTTCATTCTCAAAAGTGTCCCAACTGAGACAATACACTATAGGGTTGTCCCACCTTGAAACTTCTTGAAAGCGCATTGCCCCTCATCCTCACCCTCCTGATTTGGCCTCAGCCCCCCACTTACAGCTACCTTTGAGGGGTTCAGAAGACATCAGGTGGGCATCCCCAAAACAGAGGGGCCAAACTTTCCAACCCAGCAATGACCAGGCCCTAATACCTCATTCTTCCAGCTGGATTTCTTAAGATCTCACTCAGAGAAGCAGCATCAGGAGGCCAGTGTAGGAACCACACCCAGAACCAAAGCCCTGTCCACAGCTGTCCACCCTGTGAAAATTCCATCTAACCACTGCCTGGCCACACAGAGATGCGGCTCCGCTGCAAGAACCCTTGACTGCTGTCTTTTGATCCCCTGTCATTAAACCAGTAGACTAGCCTGATCTATAAGAGTTAATAAGAGGGGATCTGATGAGGATGGGGTGCAAGTTCACTTTTCCACAGAGACAAGTGGCAAAGGCCCCGGAGGACCCTGGAGAGGAGTCAGCCTCCTCCACCCAGGATGTCACCTGCCTTCTTTTTCTACACAGCAAGAACTACACAATCACAGCACCTCTCCCGTCTATTGTAGCCTCCACATGGTGACACACATGTCACCACAAAGAGTGAGTGCCCCAGAGCAGCTCTGTGCTGTAGACCCACATCCAACAGCCCAAGCCCTCCTGCCTCCTCCATTCTTCTGAATTATCTGATCCATTGGAATTTCATTCTCACCTTTAGCCACATCACCTATAGAAGAACTTCCAAGACTTCAGTGGGAGGAGCGGTGGCCCCAAAAGATAGATCCATCTTCTAACCCCAGAATCTGTGACTGTGATGTTATTTGGAAAAGAGGCTTTGCGGATGTAATTCAGTGAAGGATCAGCCTGGATTATCCAGGTGGGCTCTAAATCCAATCACAGATGTTCTAATAAGATACAGAAGGAAAAACAGAGGAGGAGGAAGAGAAAGCCGTGCGGAGATGGAGGCAGAGATGAGTGATGCAGCCATGAGCCAAGGAAGGCCTGGGCCCACCAGGAGCTGAGAGGCTAGGAATGGAACCTCCCCTAGGACCTCAGGAGGGAGCACAGCCCTTTGGACACCTTGATTTTGGACTTCCAGCCTCCAGAAGGACGAAAGAATAAATTTTGGTTGTTTTAAGCCTCCAAGTTCATGGTAATTTGTTACAGCAGCCCTGACAAATGAATATGATGACCTAAGTGGGCTTAATTTTCCTAGATTCTGCCTGACCTCCCTGCAAAGCTGTTCCCCACACTCCCTGCTCTAAAGTATTGTTGAGGACACACACAGAGACACAGACAGACAGACAGACAGACAGACAGACAGACAAGTATATACACACGTCTCTGCTAATTTACATCTTTGTTCCAGCCTTTCCCCAGGAACGTGATGAGCATTTGCTAAGAAGGAATGGGCTGGACTAGACAGTTTGTCAAGATCTGCAGAAGAGCTGGGCTGGGGGGAGGAGGCAGGCTGAGCCAAGGGGCTCCGGGAAGCTGGGCTCCTTCAGTTTCTAGGCTGAAAATAGAACCCTGCAGGAAGGCTGAGACCACGCAGGAGGAAAGGAGCCCAGAGGCAGACACACAGTTTCACCGAAAAGAATCAGAGGCAGCCTCCGAGGTCAGAGGCCCCTAGAGGAAGGAAATCACCGGCGTGTCAGTTGGGAGAGACCTTTTAGAGCAGTGCACAGTGGACTGACTGCTCACTGCAGAAACATTCAGCTGGGAAGGCTTGTTTCAGGGTGAACATGATGAAGACAATCTCCTCGTAATCATCCGATTCGTACAGACACCCAAACTGGGGTGACCCATCTGGGCCGGCACCCATGCTCTGAAGATCAGAGTAAGCGCAGCTGCCTGTGGCCAGCACGGTGGGCTCTGACCAGGCCAAGGGCGCGGGGGGCCACTGGTTGAGGTACACACCCAGGTTGGATCTCTGCCGTGGGTCAGTGGGGTGGGTGTAGAGCAGCCACCGGTCTGGGGAGCCTGACCCCACGCGGGGACTGGGGAAGCTGACGATGCTCCCATGGCAGCCATGGGGGGGCTCCACCAGCTTCTTCACCTGCTGGGTCTCCCTGAAATCCAGCCCATCATTGGACGCTCTCGGCCTGGACCCTGGCTCGGAGGGGGCTCCGTGG